CGGCATTCAGACTCATCACAAGAGGATCTACAGGCTCTAGTGGGCAGGGAGGGTACTCGGTTTAAGGAGCAAGAGCAAAAAACACACAGTTCGGCTTTAGTAGCAAAGCAATAGCTGCTGTGTTCACGGCCAGCTGGCTGCCAACCAAAGCCTGAGGTAGGGCAGGATGTTTCTCCGCTGTGCTGGTAGGTCTCCGTGTCTCACCTGACAGCGGCGCGTGGAGTAGAAACAAAGCTTGCTAACAGGAATTATTAAAGCATTCAATATTAATTGAATGCGTGAAACTCCAGGTATAGTGGCTCCCTCTGATGGCAAAAGGGGGTCATGACAATTAGCACAAAAAGCAGACAAAAGAGGGGAAGTGTGACTCCAGGGAAAGCTGCTGGCAATGGTATAAACACAGTGTCAAACTCATGGGCTCAGGCATTCTTGTCTCACCAACATGAGCTGGTTACGGCTGAAGTGGCAGCCCATTTTTTCTGCTTGCAGAGGGAAAAAAATGCCCAAGGCAAGGGGGTGAGAGAGCAAACAGGGATTTCTTCCTCCTGTCTGGCTGCTCTTGTATGCGATTTCCGCCCTGCAGTGAGGGAAGAATTTGGCTGCCACATTCATTAACCCTGGGATTCCTCTCTCCATGCTGCGCTTGCAAGAGGAACCGACTCTGACGGGCTGCAGGGGAGTCAGTCTTTACACCAGTGCATCCTAGGCAGCTCGCCCACAGCACAGCGTGATGCAAAAAAAAAAAAAGGGGGCACACGGCACTGAGCCATGGCTGGCTGTTTTCAGGGGATGGGCTTGTAACCCTCCTCCCCACCCCAAGCCGCCTCCCTTTGCCACCTCCCTTTCCCCTCCCAATTTCCGTGCTCATCAGAGGTTTGTCTCTCTGTTGTTTGCTCTATCGCTTCTAAAGCCTTGACTTCTCATGAAAGCCACAGGTTCACAGCTAGTGGAGCAAACCAGACCCATATATATCTTCATCACTGCATGGCTCCCCTGCCCTAGAGAGCTGCCTGCCATTCGGTGCTGAGCCTCCACACCGCTCCGCCAATGCACCTTCAGCCTACCACATCCCTCCAGCATCTCCTCCAGCCCGCACAGCCCTACCAACAAGCCTCACGTAGCAATTCAGTACCTGGGCTCCCCAAACAATGCTTCTCATTCTTGCCCTGTAACGCCACTCCCCATAATCTCAATTTGTACCATCTTGAGTCCTAAGCCTCGGGGAAAATATGGACTGAACCGGGATCAATCAAGAAAGGCTGAGCCCTATTTTGCATCATGAATGAGCGGGACAGCAGAATAAGGCCATTGGCTTCGCTGTACACTAACTGGAAGTTGGGAGCCAAGATCTCTGCTGGAGAATAGCCAGAACATTACCTTTGGGAGCCAAACTTTTTGGCAGGTGTGCCATAAATTAGCTCTGCACCCTCCCCAAGAGCTACCCAGTCCCTTTTCCCTGCCCAATCTGCTGCTATCCTATGCTTTCTGCTCCCTGGCCTATCTGTCCATACAGAGGCTGCCTGTGCTACTTGTGGCATTTGTACCACAGGTTGGCCACCTCTGCCCTATGCCATCTAAGCTATTTTGGCTTTAAACCTCGCTCGCACGTACTTGGAAACACCAGCGGCTTCATGCTTTATCCCTCCACATTCTACCTCTTGATTTTAAGATCCCCTAAGGCTGACTTAAGAGCTTTTGTTTGAATACACTGGAATCAACTCTAAAATACACCCTTCATTGGGAGCTGGTTTCCTATCCAGAGGGACATCTTTCATTTAAAACTTTTCACAGCGAGCCCATGAATTCTGAGGGGTCTTTAGGGAGTAGGTCTTTTCTCAGGGGTTTAGCTGGGTTCATTTGAGGTCACAGATGTTTAATATTCATGCCACACCAGAAAACACTCGGGGTCCAGCCAGATTGCGATCAATGACCATGAATTCCTTACTACAGAAAGGGCAGGCGTCCAGTTATAAAAGTGGTGTTGAAACAACACAGACGAGCTGACAGGTCTCAGATTTCTAAGAGCTACTAAGTGGGAAGAAGAGAAAGGAAAGAGGGTTTATGGAGCCAGATGACCCATCGCAGACAGCAGGTCTTGTACAGCATACTGAAAGCCAGCCGGTTTAAGGGACAGGGTAACAAAAGTAAAGCACGGAGCTTTAAGAAGGGGCCAGTTCTCATACCGTGTGACTGAATATTAATGAACCCCTCGGCGACTTCAAGCGAACCCAGCCTCACAGCTACAGGCAGCGGGGTGAGCTCTCGCTGACATTCCCACACACAAGGACCGGGAAATGTCCTACTTGGGGTCACTTGTCGGGACCACAGGAGGATTTCTGAGCACTACGACAAGTCTACTGAGGGGGACAGGTGAGAAGAAAGAAAGCTTACTTTGGAGAGGCGCCTTTGTGACTAAATCGGAGAGACAGCATGCAGGAGTGAAGAGAGAATAATTACAAAAAAAAAAATCCTTGCAAGGACAAAGAGGGAGGAAAACCCACAGACAAAATAGACATTATCTCCTTCGGTCTCCTCGGGGCCCATATGAATGAAATGTCAGGGCAGCGGCCGGCTGGCAGACCTAGGGGCCAATAATGCCAAGCCCAGCAATGGCAAGAGCAAAGTATGATTCCTCCATGCTGCCCCCTGCTTCTTGGGCCCAAAACCGAGTCCCGTCTCCATTGCGCAGCGAGTCCTGGCTTCTCCGCTGGGACTGACAATGAAAGTGCCCTGGGTGGTCGTACAGAGTTGTGTGTGCATATGCATGTGTTTGGGTGCACTAGTAGATTGTCCAAGGATCAACCAGCTCCTTTCATGTAGGCCAGCAGCATAAAGATGACCAACGGCAACACCGTGTAGGTACTCAGGGTGAAGTATGTCATCTCATGAAGCTGGAAAAAAAAAAACCCCTATACAAATGCACACTTCCAGGAGCAAGGTGCCCTTTAACAAAGTCCCCTGGTATTTGAGGTTTTGGGAAAGCTCCTGTTGTGTTCACATATACCTGGAAACCTGTATTTCACAAGGCACCATGGACCAAGGCAGGTCTAGCAGGGCCCAGCTCCAATATCCAACCACACACTCATTAGACAAATCTCTGTCTTAGGAGGGTGTACAGTGACAGCTGACTCAAGGAAGGTAACAAAAAAAGGAGAAGCCCTGCCCCATCTGCACTAAGGATACCTGCTCTGCCATAGAATAAAGGGATTTTTACATTGCTCATTCAGGCTTGATATGTGAGGACATAAAGGGGTGAGCTGCGGGTAGGCCACTTTTGTTAGGCGACTTTTCCTTCATGACTTCTATGTCCTTTTCATTAGAAGGAGACAGTCAGGGCAGTATGACCAAGACAAAGGGATGGCCGGGGTACCTGGGAACAAAAACTGACCCTGCTCCCAGCCGGGATGGGATACACTGGCTGTCGGTAAGCCTCTAGTTATAGCCAGGGACCGTGGGGAAAAAAAATTAGTCCTATGCAAAGTACCAGCAAAAGGACTCAGTATTACTGACATCCCATTGTGCTTTCAGAGTCTTGAACAGGCCTTGAGTGCTGCCCAGAACGAGCATCGCCCTTAGTGAATGAAAAGTTTATCAAAGTCCCTTCTGCATCCCTGTGTCCCTCCCCACACCCTCAGTGTTAGCCTCAAACTCTCCCGTTGAGTGGATGAAATGGACTGGTTGCAAAGGCTGGTTTTCTGAGTCTCACTGGGGTTGGTGTAGAGACTCCTGAGAAAAGTTTTAATTCACAGAAGCAGCAGCATGGGCCTGCTTACCTCACCAGCCAGTGTCTCATGGACTGAGGCTAGCAAAGACCAGACGGGCTGTGCTAGTACCTGCCCAGTTCTGCCCCAACCGGCTGAGTGCCCCTGTGGCCGGTAGCAGCTCAGGTGAAGGTCTTCAGTAATTTAATATGGTAAAGAAGGGGAGTTATTCAGTTGGAAATAAAAAGGAGAGGGCAGAAAGTAAACACAGCACCCCAGGGAGTAAAGAGAGATGTGTCTGAACACAAGTCACCTTTTCCTCACCTTGGAGTTCTTGGCCCCGCTGCGACCCGACTGAGAGGAACAGCTCCGCTGCACACCCTGCTCTGGCGTAGAAGGGGATTTGTCTGAAGAGTGGTCTGAGCCTTTCTCCACCATGGCGTCTCCTTGCGAGTCCTGCGGTGTCGGAGACCGGGAGCGTTTGCGCAGGATGGGGGAGCAGGCAGGCGTGCTGCGGTTCGAGTTACTGGCAGTGCTGGACAGAGAGAAAGCAGAGTCTATAACCATCAGGAGAAAGACGCTCTGTTCACAGTACCTGCAACGCGTGTGGTCTAGCATAGGTGAGGTAGTGCCCAGGGACTTCGCCGTGTGTGCACTGGCCAAACTCGGCGTTCTCAAGTGAGAGGCTAACGCCGCACAGTCATGTTATTCTCCGGTGGAAATTTAACCTGCTATAGCTAAACCACAAGACAACAGCAGGCACTTTACTTTGGGGGTTTTTCTGGCCGCTGTCATAAAACAGATGCAGCTGAAGACTGAAAAAAGTGCACACAAAAACACCCACTGCAATTTTGAATCTAGTCCCATTCATGTAATGTATTCTTCCATTGCCTATAAAAAATTGCCCAGCTCACAGCGGACTGGTTTGGCTTCTTCAACATTTGGGGAAATGTCCTTTTGTTCCCATCTGAACACAGGGATTTGCAGGAGAAGAGTGATTTTCCTCCTGTGTAAGAAGCTCCAGTCATTCGATCGGGGAGCAAAAACAGGGCTGTAAGATTTTATTGACCAATCACCCACCCTGCACAAAGAACAGTGGATAATTCACTAACTACCATAGGGTGCGTTTCATTTGTAAAATTGGATCTGGTGATGTGAACTTCAAATATAATCCAGGCAACTAACAAATACATTAACAAAAGTCAGGACTTGTTCATGAATAGGAATAAAGGGCTAAATTGGAAGGGTAATGTATTGGTGATAAATAATTCAGCCAGCTGCATTATACAGAGAGGATTCCCCTTTTTATGATTCACGCAGATATCCATCATCTGTTTAATAGAAAAGCCTAAGACACATGGTTTGGCCAACCCCAGCCACTGAAAACCCACATAATTGGCTTAAAAAGAACGAGACACTGGAGCTTTGGGGAGGGGGCAGGGGTTGTCATCTGGTTTCTGAGCCTTAAGATGCTCTGAGGTCATGTTTACAAGCCTCTGCTACCAGGAGGAACCTACTTTCAGAAATTCAGCAGGGATTTCCCCTGCAACCTCCTGACTCCAGAAGCTGGGCCTTCTAGGAAGATTACTTATACTGCGAGACTGGCAAGAAAAATCACAAGACTTGGCAACGCTGAAACAGAAAAGGATAAGTCCTTTGCTCTGGACTGTAAAATGGCCTTGACTTCCAAATTTTTCAAAGTCTCTGGGTATTAGATGAAAGTAAGGGAGGGAAGAGGGGGAAAGAAATGAAGGCCTGGCTCTTGACCGATAATGCTGTCTTTGTCAGGTATCAGTTAACGATTTGCAGAGGAAGTCTGCAGAGATCCTGAAGATACCCAAGACAGTCATCCGAAAAGTGGGTGTGTAAAAATATCACTTTTTAACCTAACAAATTGGTTCCTTTTGTTCATGTCAGGCCAATGCTGCGTATTCTAGTGACAAAAGCAAGCTTTAACTCTTCCTACCCTATTATCCCTGCAACACGGAAGAGGGAACTGAATACTGCTCTGGCTCATGCATCACCTACAAAATTTTGTTTCAACAGTCAGTCAATCTTTTTCACCAGCACGTAGGTCTAATGCAGGAGGACAAAACCTGAGAGTGACTTTACATCCCAAGGTTGTGTTTGCAAAGCCCGCAGCTAGAATGGAATTTTTTAGTTGTAAATTGAGCAATGTAATATGGACGTTACCAAGAGCAAACAAATGGGGAAACCTCGTATGTATGTCTTTTAAAAAAAGAGAAACACTTTCCAGAAAAGAATCACCCTTAAAATATAGATTGTTCACCAAAGCGCACACGCTCACACCAAGAAGTTCTTCCTTAAACAAGATGGGAAAACCCTCGGCTCGAATACACAAATGAGACACCAACACATCATACCTCTCTTATCTATCAATGACATTCATATGGCTCCCATTGCTAAAGTGCTGGAACACTTCACTATCACTCAAGCCTATTTATCCTCACAATGCTATTATCACTATTTTGCAGAGAAGGAGCTGAGACACGCAAGGCCAAGGTCACCAAGAAGTGTGCAAACTGAACACTGGTCTACCAAGCCCCTGGATTGTCCTCGCTCTCTCCTCTATACATCTATCCCAGATCCAGAGTGCACATATAATACGGGAAAGCCGGCCCTACCAAGAGTGAAGCAAGTGAGATAAGCAGGCGGAAACCAGGACACATGCAGTACAAGCCGGGGGAAGAGAAGGGTCTCAGTATTGAAACACAAGGCTGAGCAAACAGGAAGTCTCTGGGCTTTCATCGTTGACATTGAGGACTGTTTTATGCACATAAAGACTTAAACTCTCTCACTTGAACTGCAGACAGGGCCCATCACTTCTGTACCCTTAGGAAATATGCCTGGCCGGAGAACAAGCAGGAAAACAGAAAGACAAGACACACACAGACAACACAGGAGAACACTTTAGACTGGAACAGAAAGGGATGAGCAAGAAAGAGAGCAAGAAATCAGAAAGAGATGAGGCCGGTCCTTTATTTGTACAGTGGGTGAATTCCCCAATGCATAAATATGCATCAGGGAGATATCTGATAAACTTCTGACCAGCCACTCACTTCTTCATTTGCTTCTATCTCTCCCTTTCCCACACCCCACCCTTGTTTTTTTGTTCTTGGCAGAGTGCAGCCACCTCCAAGGGGTCCACAGGACCCAGCCACATCAGTTCACAGGGGTCCACAACACCGAGCCCCAACAGTTCACACGGGTTGCACAGAAGGTCATCACAGCTCCCTGCGGAGGGTAAAATGGGACACAGCAACCCCAGTTTCTTGTTTCACAGCCCCAGCCCTTTTGACGGGAATTAGAGCAGGGCATGAAATGGTCTTCCTGTTATGGAAAACCTTCATAATTAAATATTCTCACTGCACATTAGGGCAAAACCAAGACCTTGCAGCATTTTCATCTAAGTCACTGGACATTCCTTTGAAGCAGTCACTTGAACCATGATTTCCCACATTTCCAGTGGGAACGACTAGGCTATATAGAAAGTCTGGCTCACACTCAGTTATTCATACAACACAGAACATACCTAGTAGGAAAGCTTGAGAGCCAGTAGCCCCAAAGTAACCAAAAGACTGATCGTTAGGATATCCATCTCAAATGCTGTAGACCAAGAATCAGCTGCCTGGTCCGACTCAAACAGATCAGGGGCTTGAACCAGGGTCTCCTGCATCTCAAGTAAGCACTGTTGCCACTGAGCTAATAAGTACTTATCTGCTCCCCTGAAATTCCTACCAAAACAGCTGTGCAGACTCTCATGCAAGTCTCAGTTGAAAAAAGTGTTTTGTAGCTGCACAGCAAATGAAAAAGAAATGAGGCTGCCATTCACAGCTAGGCTTATGTCCTCCCTTTGCCTAGCATAACTGAAACTGCAGAACTCTGCCCTTCACCCACCCACCCATCCATGCCCCCCAGCTTTAGTCACCCTTGAGTCCATGACACTGTATATAAGATCTCCTTATTTGCCACTTGACCCCAACCTAATGTTATTGCAACATGCACATCTGCCTTTGCTCCCTCTGCTTCCCAAACCTATATGAATGATGTTAAGGAAAGGCTGTTCTTCTACCGGGGGCAAAGGACCAGTAGAAAGGGAAAGAAAAAAACACTGTATTTTCAAAATGTCAAGAAGAGTATAGGTTTACATCTTGATAATGAACAGAGGTATTGGTGGCTACTGTGTGTGAACACTTAACTTGAGGCACACCCACAGGCTGTTTTCAGAGGCAGGTGCACAGCACTTTCTGAGCATTTGCTGTCTCCAAAAATCTCTCAAGCTAGGCAAGCAAAATCACCAAGTCACTTTTTAAAGTCTTGGAAATGGTTTTTAAATTGGCCAAAAGTATAGTCAATGGTGGTGGCGATCTTTCCAAGTCTTTGTCACCTTTCCATACTATGGACAGCTAGATAGAAAGTATTCAGCTATTTATGTCGCTCAGCTAGATAGATACCCACTCATGGCACAACCTTGGAATTTCTTGCTCTTGTTATCTCCTTCCCCACTGAAGTATTCATTATATTGATTCAGTGGCCATGTACCATCACCCAGCTCTGTAACCCATCTGCATTTATTTTTCTGTGTACTCACAATGTTGGTAACAGCAGGTGGCTTTCTTTTTTCCAGTCCTCTCTCTCAGTAGCCATATTGGCTTCTTGCTGAGCAACCATCCATTCAACATAAATCATTGCTCCAAAAACCCAACTGAGCTGGTCCCATTTTTATTTGCTCACATCCCCTGAGTGATGCAGTTTTTCTGGCACAAATGTTTCAGGAAGCAAACTGAAAAGTGTGTGTGCAAACAGTCACTGAAATCAAGTGCCTGTATGCTTGTCGTATCAGGGAGCAGAGAGAATAGCATGTGACTTACCAAAATAAAATTTAAAAAAAAAAACCCCAACCCAAAAAACCTCAGAGTGACACCATATGACTTCTGGAGGCCTGAGGTCAATGCAAAGAGCAGAAAGTGTGAGATATTCATGCAAATAATGAACAAACTGGAGAAAACTGAGAGATGCTCACAGATGTTCTGTGAGCAGGAGGAGAAGCTGAATGAATTATTCACTGTGAATTATTCACTCTGCTCTGCTACACAGCAAACCACTCTTTTGCAATATAGATGGAGAAACTGAGGCAGGGAAAGATTAAAGGACTTGCTCAACGCCCGCCAAGAAGTTAGGGAGAGAGAAAGGAGGAGAAAGAACCCAGGACTCCTGACACCCCGATCCCCTCCTGTAACCTCTGAGCAAAGAGGCACACAGAAGCCAGTATTTAATGCAATATATGATGACACCACGGGCCAGCCAAACCTTTTGAAATTCTCTTTTCTATTGTATTCTACTGCATCTGATCATTATATGGGAACCTTGAACCCTAACCATGTTAACAGAGCAGTTAAGGAAACATCCAGGTATTAATTCCTTGAGGACACTATTAGAAATATGGCAATCAAAACAAAAACATGGAGCAAAAGTATGTGGGGCCATGCTTCCACCTGTAAGAGCTCAGGTATT